ATATAATTTAATAACAAATAATAACTTTATTTGAAAAAATAACAGCATTAGTTTCTAATCAAAGTAATCTGTATTTGGTTGGTGCACATTGTTCTTTTTGGGACATAGTTGATAGTTTAGATCTTGGCATATCTTGAAGCATTGTCTGGAAGACCCTTGACTTTGTCTGATAAACTATTTCTGTTTGTATTGTTTTCAACTGCGCTGAGTTGGCTGAACTTTAAGAATTTTTCAGGCTCCAGTTTTGGCAAAATACCCTGCGAGTATATCAGTGACAGCATATTCCTACTTTTTTGGTTGTCTTTTAATGATAGCAACGGCCTTCTCGATGACCAATGAGTCAACAGACTGGAACTTGACACAATCAGAAGTTTTCGCTGTGTGCTATGCCGTAAGATTCTCTTCATTCCCTTATGGTTCCTGTTCTGAAGCAGGTTTTAATTACTATTTTTTTCCTAGTTTCAAATTATAATGACTTGTCAACTAGAAAGATATTAGATATTAAGCTGCAGCAATTTTTAGAATATCATGCCTGATCGATATATTATTTAAATGGATTATTGAATATGCTATGATTTGGCTCAATGGGTCGAAGGAGTAGCAGTGAAATTCGCCACAGCCCCCAAATGGAGAAGTGTTCAGCTTGCTGCCTCCCACTTCCCCTTCAGAATGTCTTAGAAAGTAAATGCATTGGATTTCGGAGGGCAAAGACTTCCTAAATCAGTCGTTTCTCTCTCTCTTTGGCATCTAGGTCTATTTCTCTTTTATGTTCTCCATATTTCGGGGCCGGGGTGGTTCCAGGGTCGGGGTCGNGTCGAGGTGTTGTGGCCATGGTCGGGATATGGTCTAGGTCGGGGTTCGGGACGGGTGTCATGGTCGGGGGATAGGGTCCAGGGCTCAGGATTATAGTGTTTGCCTAATTTATATCAGAATGGTCTTGCAAAAATATTTTCTCCTCGCTAACCAAACATTAGAAAATAAGTAAGGAAACCACTTTTTTTTCCAGGAAAATATTTTCCGTGGAAAACATTTTCCATCATACCAAACACACCCAAAAAGTGATGATTACTCTTATTGCCTTTCTTTTTTCTTTTATATCAATTCACCAATTTATCATAGCTCTTGAGCCTGATCTTCAACTTTGATCTCTCGTGAATCAAAAGTTTGTAGATATATAATTGTCCTTTTAACTTTTGCTACAACCTATGCAATACGAGTCCCTTCATATCAGAGTACGATTTCATTTGTTTCCATCTAACCTTTTCATTAATAACATTTCCACCATAAGTGACTTTGTTAGTTTCGATTCCTCTTAAGCAACATGCATCCCTTTTTATTTTATTTTATTTTATTTATCAAGGAAATACTTCTGTTTAAGAGGAGAAACATAAATTGAAGAGGTCAATATGTCTTCAATTACAATAGGAAGACAAATCAAGTAAAATTAGCGATCTTCATTTTCAACGCAGTTTGTTTCTACAACAACAACAACAACAACCCAGTATAATCCCACTTAGTGGGCTCTGGGGAGGGTAGTGTGTACGCAGACCTTACCCCTAACCTGGGGTAGAGAGGCTGTTTCCAAATAGACCCTCGGCATCCTTCCCTCCAAGAACTTCCCACCGTGCTCTTGGGGAGACTCGAACTCACAACCTCTTGGTTGGAAGTGGAGGTTGCTTACCATCAGAGCAACCCCTCTTGTCACAGTGTTTCTAGAACAATGCCTTTTTTTAGGAGAAAGTGGAAATGCTGTATTCTTAACTTATGGAAGTTGCTGTAAGGCGTGGTAGTAAGTGATAAAGTTGTGACGACGCAATATCAAGGCTTGCTCCTTAATTCTAAAAATAAGGTAGGTGAGAGGATAACTCAAGCAGAAGGCAATTTAGCTGTCCTCAAATTTCAGTTTGATCGTACTTCTCTCAGCCATATTGCTGCTATTGCAAGGCACTATGTCATCAATCACAAAGATGTAATCTCATTAAGGAAACCTGGCTCATCTTGTGGATGGAACAAAACAGTATAATTAGCATCAGTATGAGGATCACTCATAGCTGATAATATGAGAGAACATAACAGTAACTTGAGATGGTTTGACTCTGTCCTTTATAGATCTCCAGATGTGCTGGCCTACAAGTGGGAAACATGATCATTGAAAGTGTTAAAAACCAAATAAGGTAGATCTAAAATCACATGAAAGGAAGTTGTTTTTAGGGATCTCCAATCTCGAAATCCATGCAGAGATAGCGAAAAATAGAACACAATAAAAGCAAAATATTTATATAGGCGAATACCAACTAGTTGGGATTAAGGCTTAGTCATGTTTGCATGCTTACATTAAGTCCAGATTTGATTGGAGTCCTTCTAGCCTCTTTATAGATTTGTATGTCATTAGAAAATGTAGAGAACCTGTAGTATTAGAGAACCCAAATTATTGAATATCGGAACGAAAGTGGTCCAAATGGAGCAAAATAGATATTGAGGTTTCATATAGTGGACGCCAGTTAGCTTGGGATTGAGGCGCAACTGTTGCTGGTGTAGTAAATCTGACATAAGCACTTACATTCTCACTGCCTATGTTATGAAACAAAGCTCATTCTGTTCCACGTGAATAAGGATTCTACTCAAGATAGTAAGGAGCTAAGCTTCAAGTTGTGGCTTTCTTTCAACTTGAAGCTTAGTTCCTTCCTATCTTACAAGCAGAAGAGATGCCTTGAATTATACTGGTCTATCACTGATGTGCATATATTGCGCGCCTTATAGCATACATAGTGTAAAACAGACACTTTAACGCTCCTCATGCTTTTCTTCCCTGGCGTTGCTATCTAGAGTTCCAATCGTCATTGACCACTTAGCAATGGCAATTAGTGATAGAGATTTACTGCCAACCATGTCTACTATGAATGCCAAAATATCCCGTGGAATTAGTCAAGGCGCGGGTATTCTGGCCCGGACACCACGGTTATTCAAAAAAAATGAAATAAAAAATGAATGCCAAAACATCTAGTTAAGCTTATTTTTAACTGATTCATTGTGGATTCTCTCCTTCATCTGTATATCTCATCCCTTGTGGTTAGGATGTGCATTCTTATTTATTTTTTACAAGGAACAGTCGTTTAGTTAGCGGTAAAAACAAAATAGTTGAGTTACCATAATTTCTATTTTTTCAGGGTATTGTTGCATCTGCCCTGAACTATGGAATGTTGACATGGTGCAATAAGATTCTTGGCCCTTCTATGGTTGCTCTGTATAATCCACTTCAACCTGCTGCTTCAGCATTCCTATCAAGAGTTTTCCTTGGGAGCCCTATTTATCTTGGAAGGTTAGTGCTCTAATTTTTTTGACTCAGTATACAACAACAACAACAACCCAGTAGAATCCCACAAGTAGGGATCTGGGGAGGGTAGAGTGTACGCAGACCTTACCCCTACCTCGGAGGGATAGCGAGGTTGTTTCCGGGAATTTTGAGTCAGTATACTGCCCCTAAAAGTGAAACTTAAGTAATATCCATGCTTATTATCATTTTCCTCTTTGTTATGCTTCACAATTTTGGCACAATGAGGATTACAAAAGCGAAAGAGTTTTGAAAGCTCCTTCACGGGAAAATGAGCATATTCGTTTAATCATTTTATTCCTACATCAAATTTTCTTTATTTAGAGATGGTTCTTGTTAAAAGTGCTCAAGTTTTGCAAACTTAGAGGATAAATAGCGCTCAGTGTTATATTTAAAGGACAAAGTCAAGCCTACACCGAAAGATAAGGGATAATTTTGGCTAAAAACTCGAACATTTGACTGTCTCATATAATCTTCTTTTCTACTTCTACCTTCTACTTATTCTTAGACGAACCCTTTACTCTAAGAACTCATGAATTTGTTATTTGCAGCATATTGGGAGGGCTTCTCATTATAGCTGGGCTTTATTTGGTAACTTGGGCATCTTACAGACAGAGGCAGGCAGCCATTGGAACTGTTTCTCATGCTTCACGGTCGTCGGATCCTCCAATTCAATATCAGCTAGGACACCTTTTCTCCCTTCCTACTTCCTCAATACCAAAGATCATTGATTAGATAGTGCTGTGGATATTCATATTACTTGATCACCTTCATGATCATTTATACAATTTTATCAAACTTTTTTCTTGCAGTAGTCAGAAAGCATATAGAAAATCTTTCATCTCAGTTTTTAAGTCAACAGTCTTATAATTCTGCCAAACTATTTTGTTCGATAAATACTTCTTTTCATCAAATCCTGCAGTCTGACCACTTTTATTTTAAGCCAACATGGCATTGTCTACCATATCTACTTTAGAACAGGAGAGAGCAATTTGATTCTTTTAGATAAATAGAGTTGGACAATTCAACATGCTTTTAGTTTCAATATCAAGAGTGTTAGTGAGATAACTCAGTTTTTGATTTAATAATGTTAGTAAAAGCTGTCGCTTTGTCTTAATCTTGTCTGCGGCAAAGGATGCTCAAGGCAGAAGGTAGAAGCTCAAATATGGGTTCGGCCAAATCCATTATGTACACATTAAATATAGAACCTAGTTATTAGCACTTGAAGCCGTCGTTCAGAACACATAAAGTTGGAATCATGGCTTCGCCTCTGACTCAAGGCCCCTTGCTTAGGGTGGTGGTGGGTGGGGCTATTTTAATCTTGTCTCCTGCTAATGATCGGCATTTGACAATTGAGTAACCAAAGCAACAAGCTTTAAAATCCACATAGATAACTTCATCTACCAAAGTACCTAATCCATTAGTTCAAGCATAATCCAGAATGCAGAAATAGTATGGAAGGATATTAGTTAAACACCATCAGCAAATTGAATTGCCAAACTTTCAAGGACAGGCATATTACTTAAATTAGTGTATAATCATAATGTATCTATATCCTATTGATCTGCAACGTTATTATCAAAATATTCTAGATATTCAATCTTTTGTATAACGTAGTTAAGAAGCTCAGTACCTTGTAGCTTAATAAGCTAGAATAAGCTTAGTTAAAAGCTACGTTTTTTTACTAATTAGCCATAATCACGTTTAAGTTGCACAACATGGCTCAAACTGTATGCTTAGTATTCTTTAGGCCTGCTGACCACATTATTGGGCTAAGTTAATCCAAAGACACTCTTAACATGGTCTCCGTTTTTGGACCAAACCTGGATGATTTTCCCAAAAGGCTCCACGCATCAGAAGTATCACCTTACCTTATATATAGCCTATTTTTTCATATCAACTTTTAATATAGGACTTTATTCGCATGAAGATGGAACTTATTTTTGAAGGATGTCCAGCTATGAGAGCTAAGATAGCTGCTGGGAGCTGTTCAAAATAGTCCATTCATTGAAACAATGCAAAAAAGGTTGGTCCAAGGAAACTATTTACAAAAGTCAAATATAACAAATGAATAAATAAATAAATACTACAGATAAAGTCCTACTGGTCGTGTGTTCTTTTTGTATATTGGATCAAGAAGTCACCAAGATTTTCACAAAACAAGTCAAGGAACTGATAAGTGACCTTTATGTCCAAGTGATTTCCATGATGATTCCAAACACAGTAAGTGTAATTTCTCAAATGCTTAGCTCCTTCACTGCCTCCTCATATTCCCTGATACAAGTTCATTTATCAAGATTGGATTTTTATAATGGTACAATACTAAAAGGATTTAACTTATGTACGATAACAGTGTAAAAATTGGTACATTATCAATGTAAATTAGTAACATATTTTAGCAGGTTACTAGTCTACTAAAGTCCTACAAAATAAAGGAAAAGAAAAGAAAATTTTGCGGCGATGATCTGCGTTTCTTACCTACTATAGTACAACATCATGCCATGATCTCTCCTCAAAGACCAATTGTGTGGCTGCAGAATCAGCAATCTTTCTGAAGCCATAATAGCCAGCCTAAAAAAGTATAATAACATCTCATACGTTATGTCATTATAAGTATGCACAGAAATAATTAAATAAGTCTGTTAAACTAAATCAGATGTTTTGGTCAGAAGACAGTGGATACTACAAAGGAAAAATCAAGTCTACATGCAGTGTGAGATCTAGTATTGTTGGCTGCTATATAATTTGTATATATATATCATTCTGTAACAGGATAGATAATGTGACAAAAAGCCAATCTGCATATCTGTATGCTTTTTGGCTTTGATAAATGAAGTTAAAATATGGAGAGGAACTTTTCAAAACCAGGAAAGATGGCTGCAGTATCACAGAGTAAATGGTTGAAAGTTAAAATCTTTAAGAATAACATTGTGTCGCCAAAATCACAATTCTCCCCATTCCAAGGTTGCAATTTAGCATCTTGAACCTGTAGGGACAACACAAAGCGGCACCTGCTTGTTCAAGATAGCATATCAATGGTAGAAACAAAGACACAAAAGAATATAAGATCATTACCTCAAATCTTGAGGCCGCACCAAATATGCATTTGAACTAAAATTATCAGTAGACCTAAGTGGAGAGGAGAAGTCGGCATTAAACCATGATTTGCTCTAGAAGCACATTTCCAGTGAAGCCTCTGAAAAAAAGAATGTAGTAGAGTAATAATTATTGGTCACGCGACCTGGCTGGCAGTTTATTAGGAGAGTTGATCGATTTCCCAATAATTGCAATCTCAAGCTCTGTCTGTGAATTGCTATTGATATCTGAAGCCATTGACTTGAAAAGGACTGTGTTCACTGCATCCAAAAGGTCAGCCAAATTGCATCCTATTTCTCTTGGAGCTAACTCTGCTTCAACTTCCCTTGCAATAGCATTCAACTCAGACATTCATTCATCTTCTTTCCAGCTAGAGGCATGTTCCACTCTAGTGATTCAGATGGCAATGAAGTACATCTTCTTTCCTTTTTGACTGAATTAGCATCCATTTCACGGTTAAAAGCCATATATATATGCCTCATCCCCAGTGGCAACGTAAAGCAAGGTCTATATCCCATAGTAGACAGTTTAAGTTCTATGCATAAAAAATAAATGTTTACACAATCAGGTAAATCTTTATGATAATTGACAACATGATAAAAATAGTAACTAACATGCAGCTATAATAGGTTAAACTATACTGATGAAGTAAAAACTCTTCGCACCAATAGTGTATATAACTTAAATCCTATATATAATCCAGCCAAATATCTTTTGTCTTTTGACTGGAAAGAAATTTCCTGAATAAACTTTTTCCTTGCACCTTTTTGAACCTGCCAAATCTTAGAAACCTCAATCAATGCACTTAATATAAGAGACAAAATGCTCCAAATTCTCAGAAGAAACATATATAGTCCTGATCTCCTGATAAATTTTGGCTCTAGAAGAAAAATGCTTAACGTCTTGCTTTCATGTTGGAGTAGCCAATTTCGTCCATCTTCCTTTCTCATTCGCAATCCGACCACCAAAATTATACCTGATGATTGTAAAGAACAAAGGGTTTGGGAATTGCCTAGTACTAGCACCAATGATACAGAGAATATTAGCATAACATACACAAATCGAGAAAATGTCCTTGTAAAAGTAAAACAAGAACCAAAAATCATCAACAAGATCCTGCTGAATTTACAAGAAAAATAACCTTCTGAAAATATCTAAAGAAGCCAAGAATATGCTTTAACAGCATTGCTCTGCTCACCATCATGGGTTGATGACACACCCCTTGCAATGATGCATACAGCATTTTCTAAGATTTAAAGATAACCAATAAGGCTCGAAAACAGAATGTTAATGAAATAAATACTTTTTTTTTTTTAAAAAAAAGCACTATCAAAAAGCAACAAAGATACGAGTCAAAAGAATAGTTCAAGAAGATGACTTAAGAATAACAAGACATGAGCTGACGATGATTAATGCAAGTTAACTCAAATTATAATAGCATAACCCGAAGCTGACATGTTAATATTTTATTACACTCTAATTCCTAAGATTCCATGACATTGCTACAAGAAATTTGATTTTTAACGACCATTTCTTAACGAAGGGACATAAATCAGGTCATTATAAGTGTATTTATAGCAACCAAATTTTTTTTTCCAGTCGTTAAAACTAATTTTTAGCTCAATATTAACGAGGAGATAATATTCGGCCGTTAAATATAACACAGCCGGTCATTAAATAATTATTAATTAACAAAAGGCGCTAACTTTTCCCTCATTTTTTTCGCACATCTCCGCCAAATCTCCCACTCCCACCCCCACCCCACCCCCTAAAAAAAGGGAAAAGCCCTAAGACGTCGACTAATTCTCTAGACAGTTCGTATAAACCTAAAAAGCCAGAAACGTCAACTTCTCTAACAGTTCCATCATAACCTCAGTTTTGAACGAATTTGCAGAGATCTGCTACGACGAATTCAAATAATTAAAGAAACTGATCTACTCCTAAAATTCAGCAATTAGCGAACGCAGCTACTCGTCACCTTCATTGACAACAGCTGCTCATCTTCGAGTTTCTTCTCATTAAGGTAAGGTTCAAAATTTTACCCTTTTCTACGTGAATTGAGTGATAATTTTGCTAGAAAAGGCATCTCAATTAGGAGCAGGGATGAGAGAGGCCAGAGCATAGATTGTGATTTGACTCCCCATCAGTTGAGCGATATCTGTTTTTAACGAGCAACTGCTATATCTCATGCCACGATTAAATCATCTTCTCTAACAGTTTATTCTGAATGTCAATTTCGTGCTATCAGTTTCACTGAGTGCCAAGTATAACTGTCGAAATATTGGTCCTCCTAAAATTAAAGTTGATAATTTTTAGCGGTTGCGAACACACTTGTATGTATATGGATATTGGTGTTCCCTTTGGTGAAAGAATGACACAAAATACAAAAATTATTTCTATCTATATATTGATTGGACAATAAGATGAATCAATATGTAAAACCAAAATGGATGGGAAAAGGGGAGAAATGTTGTGTTTCAACTAGAAGCAATCTAGAGAAGAGGGTGGATGCACTGTCCTCTTTTGGTCCTTTCCTCCATCATAGCTTATCTAATATACAACAATCTTATGTAATCCTCATAATTTTATTATATAACACCCATGATGGAAATGATACTAGTAGAAAACTTTGTGTTGAGTGACCAGAGAAGCATCGATGCACTGATTTTAGCTACTATACATTGTACCAAAATGTCATGCTCATTCGGGATTGATTTAGAAGGGGTGAAGAGGTATATGAGAAGAGAAAAAAGGAGAAAAGATTGGGAGAATGCGTAAAGTTGAATGTCGTATGATGGAGTCTTTCATAGGCATACTTTACAATGTGTATATTATATTTATCTGATGTGAGACACTAGTATGTGCACTGTTACTTCTGTACGTATTTAACTTGGTCTAAGTCTAGCTATCTTCCCCCTCAAGGGGTGTGTGTATATATGTCATACCAAAGTTTGTTTCAACCTACATATATAGTTTATGGATTAGCAATGAACTTAGTACGTAAGAAAGTTAGTCCTCTGACTTTGCAGACTTGGTGATTGTGTCTCTATGATAAAACGATCGTCATTTGTATATGCTTGGTTCTCTTGAAAAATATTGGATTAGATGCAGTACGAATTGCAGTTTGATTATTGTACATAGTTGTCTGATTAATCTGCACAAACTTCAATTCTCGGAATAGGTATTTCATCCATAAGAGTTCATCAGGTTAATCGTACTGGCAATATGTTTGTTTTGACTTGCCAGCACATATTGTATCATGCTCTTTCAGGATGGATGGGCTAGGGAGTAAATACACACAACTTGCAAAGATAGTGTTTGATCAGCATTCATCACCATCTTCAAGTGATCAATAGATTGAATCATTTAACAGGTTAGTAGATTGAAAATCCTATTTTACTTTGTGATGTATGAGATCGAATTAAAAATAAAAAAACATAAATTTTTTGTTTTGAAATACAAAAAAAAAAGTAAAAAAATATTTTTTAGGGGAGGGGGGTTTTGCGGGGGTGGGGGGTGCAGAAACAAAAACAGAAAATTAAAAATAAAAAAACATAAATTTTTTGTTTTGAAATACAAAAAAAAAAGTAAAAAAATATTTTTTAGGGGAGGGGGGTTTTGCGGGGGTGGGGGGTGCAGAAACAAAAACAGAAAATTAAAAATAAAAAAAAGTAATTTTTTTTTTGAGGGGGTGAGGGGGGTTGGTGGTGCAGAAAAAAAGAAAAACTGAAAATACAAAAAAAAAAGTAAAAAATTTCTTTTTGAGGGGAGGGGGTAGGGTGGGTGTATGGTGTAGAAAAATAAAAGAACATAAAATTAAAAATACAAAAAAAAAGAGTAAAATTGGGGCAACTAAATAAATTTTTATATAAGTTGGGTTGAGATACCTTTTATTTTGGATGAGTTTCATAGGTTGTATTTGGGCTACTTAATGAGTCAGAATGAGCTATAAAATACAATGGGTTAACTTGGGCTCAGCCCAAATTGACCCATGAGCTAAAATGTTTGTAACCCAACCCATTTATCTCTGGGCGGATTGGGCAGGTTAGATGGGTTTGGGCTCAAATTGCCACCCCTAGCCATCACCAATGGTTCCTTCACTAATTGTTGGGTTTCTTAGTCTGCTCATTTTTTGTCCAACAATTTCTAACATAGGTGGAGGTGCCACCATTGTTCTTCTAACATTGTTATTTCCTATCTCCTTGACACTTGTTGTATACTTGCTGTCAATATTCATTCCTATACTAAGTATATCATCTGCTACCTATTGGGAAGGCAGTACTGGTTCTATTGTATATGATGGAGAAGGTTTGTTTGGGGTAGGGACCATGCTCCTAGTTATCCTCTTCTTCTTTTTGTACAATTTGATGGGATAAGTTCTCTTTTTTGCTTTTAATTTTTTATAATTAGTAAGATGATAAAATTATCACTTTTGTTAGAGATGGAATAAACAGAGCGTATAGCAAATTCTTTAGACAAACAGAGAAAAATGTACACTCGGGACACTTCCTTAATGTTTTGGAATCTCAGTAGGAAATTCCAAAACCTTTGTACCATCTGTTGCCTTAGGATCCTTCAAAGCAGCAATAGTTTCAGGAGATGATTGAGCTCGATTCCCATTAGGAGTTGGAGCATCAAGTACCTGCCCAACTCTTTTCTCCTTCCGATCTGTTGAGAGTTGCATCTTAGATTGTTCAAGTTCCTTAGTGATCAACTGTCCAGCTGCGTTAGCGTATTGCTCAGCATCTATAATTATATAGCAGTCCTTTCGATCAACCACATGTGCTTTTGCATTCTTCACACGAGGAGGTTAGACTCAATGAATTTGTAAATCCAAATAAACCAATTGCAGATTACAAAACTGAGATTACTGGAATAACCGCCGGAGATTTAGATGGAGTTTCTTGTTCATTGGCTGATGCACAGATGTCCATGAAGAAGCTAAAAACCATATTGATTGGCCACAGTTTACACAATGACCTTCGAGGTAAGCTACATCTTGCATCATAAGTGATGGTCTTTAATTAACATTCAAATCTTTGGTGCACATCTACTGGTAAATGGAAATGATATGGCTTTTATGATCACGTGTCTCCTTTTAATATCCCCAGGCTTTAATGTTATTTCTACTCCCTTTTCTCTTTTCTTTCCCTGTCCGTAGAGTATTATGCCGTGCTTTTCCTCAGTTATGTCCTTCGCTTCTTTTTTCTTTTTTTGATAAAGATCTGTTATGTTGTTCTTAATAACTTTGAAGATAGATCATGCAAGAGTGATTGACACATCTTATGTCTTCAAATATCAGGATCAGCCTTCTAATAGAAGACCTTCTTTAAGTAATTTGTGTAAGGTAAGCTGTGCTTTTTTAATCTTAGTATTTCTTTCCCATGCTACGGTATGTCCACTCTGTTGAATTGTTGGCCATATCAACCCTTACTTTGGATTCCTATTTTATTTGGGAATTTATAAGTGCAGACATTTTTTCAAATGCTTTTATCTGAACACTCCAAATAACTTTATTCATTTTGTGTTTAGTAAAATAGTTGTGCTGCTTTTTTTTTAGCAGTCTTTGTGGTTTGTCCCCCTGTTCTTCTTTTTCCAACTATGGTTCCTTTTATAAACTGAAGATTAACAAGTATTTAACTATTTATCACAAGCTCTGCTTGGTGAATGCTATTGTTTACTTACAATAGTTTCCAAATAGTTGTGTTAGGTTTTGAACTTCGAAAGAAGGACTCTCCACATAATTGTCTGGATGATGCATGTACTGCGATGAAACTTGTTCTTGCCAAGATTAGTGTGGAGTTGATTGTATCATACCGTTAGTTCATGAGGAGGTAATATCATAAAGCCTTTTATTTTAAATTTTATTTTCTTTCTTGTGTCCTGATTATAAGATGGTCATCTACTCCTTTGAATTTAGGTGCAAGAGCCCTAGGTGGCAAAGCTACTTGTCCACAAAATACCAGTGTCTGTTCATAGCGAAGAGTTACACAAAGTTATTCCTGGAGACTTTACCATAGAAGTTAAGGTTAGGAGAATCTCATGCTTTTTTCTCTCTCATGTCATATAAATAATAAATGACATCTTTATGCAGTTTGCACTACTTTATGCTGATTAGTTTATAAAAGCATATGTCGACATTCAGTTAAGAATCACATTGTTGCTTGTTTGCGTTTTTTTAATGGTCTATGCTATAGTCATTCCTCATGTTACATGGATCCTTCAATTGCCTTAATGTACTCGTGTCAAACTGGTGTGACATTGGGCATAGGTGTTTTTCTAATTCTTCAAAAAACACTAATATTTGCCAGAAGCTACACGTGCCATGCCAATCGATGGTCTATCGGAAACAGCCTCTCTACCCTATCGGGGTAGAGGTAAGGTTAGCGTACACACTACCCTCCCCAAACCCCACTTGTGGGATTATATTGAGTTGTTGTTGTTGTAAAACCTGAGAACCCCTAACTACAGTAGCGTCAACAAGACCTGTAGCAGCACTGGAACCAGCTGTTATAGGCAGTAGCTTACAAACATCGGATCCTTTAGCTACAACATCTGATTCTTGCCCCTCATTAGCCACAATAGAAGTTTTAAAACCTGTTGATTTATCAGATGGTTCACCAGCTGCATCCCTGCGACTACCACCTCCCCATTACCATCCAGCTTAGGATTAGTTTGTAACACTGAGTTCACAGCCTTGTAAAGCCTCGCCAAGGCTGTAGTAGCACGAACATCACCTATAGGTTTAGATTGATCCTTCACCACCTTTGAAACATCACCTACAGGATTTATTGGACCACTATTAGCTAGTTCTTTTCCAGGTTTTGTGACCTCCTGCTGCCCAGATGCATTCTTAGCAACAATTGCTGTATTTCGCATCTTATTAACATCAAATCCTTGATGAACTACAATGGACTTGTTCCCATTATTATTAGCAGCATCCAAACATGTTCCCTCAACTACCTGCTGCCATTATTTATCATCCAACAATTGCCTCAGATCACCTTGAAACTTCTCCACCAAAATTTGATCTTCACAATCCTCGTCTTCCCCATTCCTTACACTGTCTCAAGTCCTTGACAAAATCAAATGACATGTATTCTCACCATGCCCTTGACGCCTACAACAAGTACAATATAACGGCAGTTGTCATCACAAAGACATTGGATCACATTCAGTGATAGTTTTGCCCCAAAAAAAGGTATTTATCCTTAATATAAATACTTAAGGAGACTCCTTACCAAAAAAGAAGTATTTTTGCAGACTAAGGATCGTTGGATCACATTCAGTGATATTCCTATATTGATGTCATATCCTTGATATAATGTAAGGCCTTTAATTGTTCTGTTTTATCCAATTTAAACTCTAATCCCATTGAATAGAATTCTTGAAATAAATATATCATTACGTAGTACTAGTATTTGTTTGTGAGTGAAGTTTTAAATTTTGATTCCAACAAGAAAATGGGATTGAAGTCTAAGAGTCGGTATTTCTTTAAACCCCCACTTGTTATCTCGATCATCGAAATGAAGTCTTGCATTGTGAGTCATCCTTTCCCTTTCTTCTTTTTCTGGAAATTTTCAGCTTTAGACTACATTTTTAGAAGTTGAGCAATATGCCTATAGGATCAACATAGAAAAAGATTTTGTAGTCATTCGAATAGGCCTGTTCATCAATTTCAACATGTACTTTTTCACTTCAAATTTTTCATCTTTATATTATACTTTAGTATGATCTTCTTTAGTTGTTTATTCTTTGTTACTAAACTAACATAAATTTGTTATTTTAACAGATTAAAAATTTGAAGTCCAAAGAACCTATCCTTGAAGAAAGTGTAGAGCATATTGAAGTATAAGAGGTTTTTGGTTTGTGGGGGATGATTAAAGACATTGTCTTATGTACATATATATGATGCAATTTTACTTTTTCTCTCTTTAGGAATTGTTAAAAATGATCTCTTACAATTTAGATTGGTTTCTGGTAAATATGATACTTTAGTTCATTATACTAACAAGATATCAAGTATTTGGTTTATTTTCTAATGTTGTTCAGCGTGTATGAAAGCATATAAAGAATTATTACTATTCATGTAATTTAAATTTTAGTAATTATATTTATTACATTTTCATATTAGCGAAGAAAGATGTGGTTATTAAAACTCTTTAACGACATATTTCTCTAACAGATAAATGACTATTAACGAAGGGAATTTTGGCTATTAAAAGCAATTATACAATCAACGAAGGGAATATCGGTCGTTTAAATTACTTGAATTGACTTAATTAGTTGTCGTGATTAGAGTTTTTTAATTACCGGATAACATTTTAACGAGGGAAAAATCCTATCGCTAAAAAGCATGTATAACGACCGAAAATTATACTGTCGCTAAAGAACCTTTAACGACCGGATTGTAAAACCGGTCGTTAACTTGTAACGACGGAGCTTTTAACGACCGGTGACGGCTGAACTTTTTCCGGTCGTTATCAACTTATAACGACCGAAATTGGACTTTTATCGACCAAATTTTCCCTCGCTGAAGACCTATTTTCTTGTAGTATGAGAATAGTACTATGCTATATATCTGCTCGTTGTTAAAATAAAAATTCCATGACATTTATCATGATGATTAAATAATGACGATAATGATGAAAAAAAATGTGTCCTAAAAGTTAGTAAAAGAATACACGAGACTTTTAGAGCCGCCAAGTTAAAGGTGACCCTACTAGGCTACGAAATAATATCAATTGCTAGCCAATCTCTCTAACCAACTAATTGTTTGATAGAAAAGACATTTGTTAATTAAGTATGAAGATTAAGGTATTAATAGCGTTTGCGGCAATTCTAGTAGAGTATTTTGACAAATTTGGAGAAGAAATATTCATTTATTTACGTAAATATATGCATTAGCCATTAAGTCTTTGATTTATACTGAACTATTGAATTTAGGGCATCATATTTAAACTATAACGATATATACTTCTTATTTTACATATACAAACATTTAGTAATTTTTTTTTGTTGGTTAAAGTAACAAACATTAATCAATAAAAAACGTAACATACATGATTAAACTTTTTAGTCATCCTGAATAAAATTGTGTTGTCATCATAGTCAGAAAATTATGAACTCTTTTTCCTTCTGTGAATAAATTAACCTCTAAATCACCATACAAATTTCAAATATCCATCACGTATCATTATACTTCTCCATTGAAGCATTGTTGCTCCCAACGCACAACCAAGTATGTGTGGTCGTACAAATAATAAAATAATAAGTTGAGTGTCGAACCCACAAAGATTTGTATCAACTACCCATTAAATTCACCAAGATTGTTATTCAGTCTAGCCAATTCGAGTTCAAGAGTTTAATTATATTAAACTGTAATTCTAAGTAGTAACTAAATTATCAAGCAACAAAATGGTTGTTGTGTATTCAGTAGAGACAATATTCCAGGGTTGTGATCGATTTATCAATCCTATTGTGTTCTAGTTAACTCTCCCTTTCACACAATTCACTCATGGTTGCTAATTAATCGAACAATTGCTCTCATAGTCAATCTCCAGAAGTACTACTCGCCTATTCAAAATAGATTAATGCCTATATGCCTATGAAATTAATCTATTAAGAATGCATTGAGATTATGATATTTAATTAAGCACAATGACTAGGTATATTCCTATCCTAACCACAATTTCGCTCCCCCCCAAGAGTTAAGATCGTGCTTGTCACGATCCGAATTTTCCACCATCGGGAGTCGTGATGACGCCTACTAATACGAGCTAGGCAAGCCAATTATTTGCACAATTTACATTTTTACCCATTTTATATTCATTAACAATTTCGGAGTAATAACATTTAAACAACGGAATTTAACATAAGCGGAAGAAAAAAAAAGCTATCAGAACATGAATCCAATACAACTGTTTGAATCTCGACTACCCAGAACTGGTGTTACATTTTCACAGACGGTCTAAGAACACTACAAATAAAGGTCTGAAAGAAATAAATACAACACTGTCTCTGGAATTGCATGAAAGAAACAGGAATAGTAGATGGAAGGAGACGCCAAGGCCTGCGGGCGCTTGCAGGGCTACCTCGGGTCGCCTGATGAACAAGAATCAGCAATCCCACCGCGGTCCGAAGTCTACAACACTAGGGTCTGCACAAAAGAGTGCAGAGTGTAGTATCAGCACAACCGACCCCATGTGCTGGTAAGTGCCTAGCCTAACCTCGGCGAAGTAGTGACGGGGCTAGGACCAGACTACCAAATAAACCTGTGCAGTATATAATGTACATCGGAAAATAAAACAGAAATGAACAAGTAAGGATGAGAGGGGCATGCTATGGGGGTATACCAGTATTAACAGTAAATCAAGAGTAACAGTCTAAGGGCAGCTTAGAATTCACAGCAAAACAAAAGAAACTAATATCCAAGCTAAACACACTTGTATCAATAATTGTTGCGGCGCGCAACCCGATCCACAAATATCTTTGTTGCGGTGTGCAACCCGATCCATATCATTTATCATTGTTGCGGCGTGCAACCCGATCCACATATAATATTTACAATTATAATGAGAGTCCCGACAAGGGATTAATAAGGTCTACACTACCCCGGCAAGAGATCCGACAGCATAAGTAATTACGTCCCGGCAATGGTGAAACAACTATAACCAAACTTGTTCCTCGAGAATAACCATAATCCTTACCCAACGCAAAGAATCATCAACCTAAGCATCTGTAATATCAACTAAGAACACAATGCAAGGGAACCACAACTCAACAATAGCCCGGCAAGGGGGAAACATAATGGTCTCTTCTCTTTCTCACCTTTACTTCACAATTCATTTCACAACTCGAGCCAATGCTCTAGAGGTTCAATTATCACTTATACTTTAACAATTCGTTATACAACTTGAGCCAACACTCCTCAATGTTCATAGGTCACAATTCTTTCCACAAACTTAAAACAACAATAGAAACCATTACCAAGGCATGAATAACATAATGAAGTCATGAAAATCACAATATAAGACTCACGGTCATGCTCGACACCAGCGTATAGATACTCGTCACAATGCCTATACGTCGTACTCAACAAGAAACAAATAGCAAATAGGACACAATTCCTAATCCCTCAAGCTAAGGTTAGACCAAACACTTACCTCGATGCCACGAACATAATTCAAGCCCCAACTATAGCTTTACCTCGTGATTCCACCACCAATTCGCTTGTATCTAGTCACAAGTTACTTAATTATATCAATAAACGCTAAATAAATCAATTTGAATGCATAAAAATGAGTTTTCCAAAGTTATTCCCAAAAAGTCAAAATTTGCCCCCGGGCCCACATGGTCAAAACCCGAGGTTCGAACCAAAACCCGATTACCCATTCCCCCACGAACCCAAATATATAATTTATTTTGAATTCGGACCTCAAATCGAGGTCCAAATCCCCAATTTTTGAAAAACCTAGGTTCTACCCAAAACACCCAATTTTCCCCATGAAAATCATTGATTTTAAGTTGAAATCATGTTAAAAGATGTTAATGATTGAAGAAAATGAGTTAAAAACGACTTACAATTGATTTGGAGAAGAAGAAGCCTTTGAAAAATCGCTCTAGTGTGTTTATGTTTTGAGAGGATATGAAAAATGAGTTTAAAATCATCTAAGTATAAAAGTTCCAGGTCTCAGATGTGGGAATTGCGTATTGCGAACCTCGACCTCTGCTGGCTTGGAAATTGCGAAAGGAAGCTTGCATTTGCGAACCCTTAGGAAATCTGGATTTTTCTCATTTGCGAAAGGGACCCTCGCATTTGGGAGGTCGGAATTGCAGAGCACAACTCGCATTTGCGAGATAAGGCAGGACTGGGCTGGTTCGCATTTGCGACCAAGCCCTCACATTTGTGATATCGTATTTGCGAGCCAGGCTTCGAAAATGCGAAGCCTACAGTCCTGATCAAACCAGCAAAAATCCTGCAATTTTTCTAAGTTCAAAATGCACCCCATGGCCTATCCAAAACTCACCCGAGCCCTCGGGGCTCCAAACCAAATATACACACAACCTCAAAAACATCCTACGGACTTATTCGTATACTTAAATCACCAAAATAACATCATGAACATCGAATTAAACCTCCAGATCAATGAAATTTTCTCAAAACTTCTTTAAACATCAAATCTGCATTTAAGGTCCGAATCACGTCAAACAAATTTCGTTTCTCACCAAACTTCACAGAATTATCTTAAATCACATTAAGACCTGTACCGGGCGCCGAAACCAAAATACGGGCCCGATACCAACATGTTCTAATCAAGATTCATTTCCAAATCCTTTAAACAATTTCAGAAAATAATTTTCTTTAAAAATTCATTTCTCGGGCTTGGGACCTCGGAATTCGATTCCGGGCATACGCCCAAGTCCCATATTTTCCTGCGGACCCTTCGGGACCGTCAAATCACGGGTATGAGTTCGTTTACTTAAAACATTGATCGAGGTCAAATTAATTCATTTTATAGTCAAAATTTATCATTTTCACAGATTTTCACATTTAGGCTTTTCGGCTACATGCCCGGACTGTGCACGCAAATCGAGGTGATACTAAAAGAGGTTTTTAAAGCCTCAAACACAGAATTCCTATTAAAAACAAGTGATGACCTCTTAGGTTATCACAATGCTCTCTTCAACTCTTCTCTAATCTAAATATGACTTTCCCAAGAATAGCATAAATAGTAAATAGAACCTAACTGCTAGCCAGACAATTAAGCAATTAATCACAAATTAAAAAAATAACAATATAATGGTGAATTATAATCAAGGTTAAGTCAACGTTAAACAACAATATTCATGGCTAAATCACAACCTTAGAACTATGGGTTTAGCCACTCATGATAGTATCAAACAAATGCATAAGTTTTGGATAATTGAAAATACTAAGAAAAGATGAAGAAATCTGAGATATCCTTGCTCCCGAATGTTACTCGTGTGTCTCTAGATCTAAAGTGTGTCAAAAGTTCAAAAAATAACGTTTTTCCATGTATTTATACCGGTCAGACCTAGACGAAATCTCCCTTTCCTAGCCGAAA